ACCTAATTAAGGATTTTAAAGTACTCTCTGAATGACTCACCACATAATTAGGATTAAGAGGACTTTTTGCTTATCTCTGGGGTTGGATTTCACAAAAATTATGCTGCATCTTTTTTTTTGCTCATCGGCTTTTGTTAGTGTTTGTGTATTTAATACGTGCCCCAAGACAATTCTTCTCCTTGTACTGTGGCACAAAGAAACCAAAAGGGAGGACACCCCTGGTCTACAAGAAGAAAAGGCCAGTGAGACAGAAGTAAAACAGAAGGGTGTGGTGTGGTGGAAACCGAGGTCAGCCGTGCTGGGTCCCCCTCAGAGGTGAAGGTGACCCGGAATTGGCACGGACTTCAGCAACGTGAAGCCACTGGCAACCCAAGAAAGGGTCACTTGAGTGGAGTTAGCTGTGATAGAGGACAGATGGAAATGGTTCAGGAAACAGTGTTGGTGACCGAATGGAGAAGAAGAGAATAGATGTTTTATGGCAAAATTTGACCGTGATGAAGAAGATAGAGAGGAGCAGATGGTTGTGATAGCCTCGTGGGTGTGCCAGAGGTCTGCGTGTGGTATTATTGAACGTGGGGGAGTCTTGGGGACGTTTAAAAGGCAGTGGGAAAGCTCCAGAATGAAAATGAAAGGGAAAGTAGTCAGCAGCTCTTCTGAGAAGGTGGAAGGGGTGAAGCTCAAAGCACCGTTGTGGAAATCAGTCATAAGTTTAGGGAGTGGGGAGCCCTAACTGTCATAAGCAGGGGAAAGGGCTGTGTGGATGTGGGAGTAGTTGAGTTTACATGTGTGCATACAAAAGTTCCTGTCTAGTTGTTTCTATGTTTTTGTGTGTATGAATATTTACAGAGTGTGAGTGGGTGAGTAGACACATGTTAGAGGTCGTGATGTAGTGTTATTTTATTTTACTGCCAATGACAATATGCTACTATTTAATTTAGGATACACACACACAGTGTGCCAAAAAATTTATACATTTTTGTTTTTCGAAGACAGAGTCTCACCTTGTCGCCCTTGGTAAAGTGCTATACTATCATAGCTCACAGCAACCTCAGACTCTTGGACTCAAGTGATTCCCTTGCCTCAGCCTCCCAAGTAGCTAGGGCTACAGGCACCTGCCACAGTGCCTGTCTATTTTTAGAGACAGGGTCTTGCTCTGGATCAGGCTGGTCTCAAACCTGTGAGCTCAGGCAATTCACTTTCCTTGGCCTCCCAGAGTACTAGGATTACAGCCATGAGCCCCTGTGCCCCGATTATGTATACACATTTTAAGAAAGGAAAAAACTGTATTAAAATTGTAATACTCAATATATACAAAAGATGAATACAAGTCACTGGAGCACTTCTTATAATTGCAAAAGTCAAATATGACTTGAGTATTACAAATGTAATTCAGTTAAGATGTGCATGCATTCTCTGGCTCCCTCTGCATACACACACATGCACACGTGGCTAATGCTGGGGCACGTAAGCACACTCTCTTTTGCACAGTGGAGCACAACAATACCTTTCTGAAAATGGCAGAATAGGAGTGAGAATGGAATTGGTCCTCTGTGGGCTCATTTTCACATTCTCCCTATGGAGATGTGTTCCTGACTCTCTTCACATCATGACAGGCCTTGAGCTGCAGTTTCTTCCAACTACTCTTGATATAATCGGCCACTTCCTGTCAGACTCCGGTGACGCTCGTGATGCCCTCCGTAAGGCCAAGTGTCTTTCAACAATCCTTAATCTTTACCAGCTATCTCCTCAGTTGACTCCTAAAAAGGACGCACCTTTTGGAGTGCTATAAAACTGTGTTATTACCCCAAACAAGATGCTGCTGTTTGCATCCGTGACATGCTCTGTATCCCTCTTTCTCACTCCCTGAGAGTGTGTAGTAGTGCCCTGTTATCATACCGCTAATGAGCAGAGAGGAAACGTGCATACTGGCCGTTCTTTCCACACAGCCTGAGGCCTGCATCTGTAGGTATGTGCACATCTGAAACTAGCGCACTGTGATATATAGTACAGTACTATACAAGACAGCACTATATGAAGTGGGCCTGTTTACTCCTTTCATAGATTTAAGTATTAGATTATAGTAGTTTAAAAGAAGAATTGGAGTTTTCCATATGTTTACATAATCTTTAATAGTTATATCATAGAACTTATGTGTTCAAAAAGTTCGAGAGAGCTCATGTCCACAGCTGTCTAGATCCAGTCCTTTTCTCCTTTCCCTCCTGGGGACCCGATGGAGGGCAGCATCGGGCTCCATCTTTAACGCCATTTTCTAATCCCCTTACCACTTATTTTTACATTCAATCCAAGTTCTTAACATTTAAGTAGATTTCATAATTTAGATATGTTTAGGGAAAAACTCATCCATGTCAGAAGGATATTGAGTTTTGTTTTTAGAGGTGCTCATCTAGTCTCAAGCGCACTAGCCGTATGCCTCCTCCTCCCTTTTCTCAGCACAAGTGCTCTATAATCTACTTACTCTTTAGCCTAAGACTTTTTAAAATTTCTGATGGGGGGAGTTCTTTGTTTATTAGTCATTATATTTAGCCAGAGAATTTATATTACGCCCAGAGAATGTTACCTGTATAGTTTATGACTTGGAATTTACTGCTGTTTTCTTTTTAGCCTGTCAGGGATTGTTTTTTGTCAATGTCCCATGGATGCTTAAAAAGACCATATTATATCTCTTTCTAGGCTCCAAGACAATTTGATTATAAAATCAACACAATTTTCTTATTTATTTTTCCATATTTATTTCACAGTGTGATGTATTAAGTACTGGATGGCACATTAAAGGCTTGACTATACTTTTCTTCATTTTTCCAGGTATTTTTTACACGGTGTGTGTGGTTATTTGACATGCTGAATTAGTTAAGACTCTTGTTTGCAAACAATAGAAACCCAACCCAGGCTAATCTAAACCAACAAAAAGGACCCATTAGCTCATCTGCTGACTCTACCTCTCCTCTTAGAGTCTGTGTTTTTACCCTCGAATTGTTAATTTATTTCTTCATGAGACTTTGAATATATATACAGTGTATATACATATATATTTTCTGCTAAAAAAAATGGCCCTTTATGACAACACTGCAAATGTGAAGTAAAAGTTACTGCCTCAGGCTACAGAAGCAATTTGTTAGAAAAATGATGCCAAATTTCAACATTTGATTTATTTTATATGTTCCTGCTGCATGGTTGCAATTATTGCCTAAATGTTGTTAAGTATAAGATGAGGTATAAACTTACTTTTTAATTTTTCCTTTTTCTAACTGTCATTTTTGAAGATAATGTTTAATCAAATCTCTTAAATTGAAAAGTGTCAAATCATATTATAGGACCAGAATGTGGGATGGGAGATATTTTGTGGACTTCTTTGGAAAATATATTCTATCACAATAAGTATTTTAAATTGTCTATAAACTTTTAAATTCTTTTCAGTAAACTTGGTTTAAGTATGTTGAGAGTGTCGTAAAATTCTATCCAAAGTGGTTACAATGGGGCTTTAGGGCCCACCCACTCAGAAACATTCCAAAATAGTCTCTGAATATATTTTCTAAAGAATTTTTATTACCAAGTAAGATATATTAGAAAGATAAATGGATTTTTCTCAGATACAAAAAAAATGAAACCTATTAAAAGATAAATACTTAAACCACCATAATGTAACTAAGGAAATTTTGATATTTGCAAATAAAAGCTGGCATTAAGTTATAGCAATGTCTTCTTATATCTCAGGTTAGCCAATGTTCATTTTAAAAGTTCATAGGGGATACATGCAGATTTAAGACTGCATCTTGCCATGGCCAGGAACATGAAATTATTCCTGTAGACAGCAGGAGAAAATTTATTGGAAAGAACTGAACATCACAAATACATAAGTATTTTTGGCCAATACTACATCCTGTAAAATACTGTAAAATGGTTGAGTTGAAACATGGCATTTGGAAAAAGAAAACCACAACCTTGTAACATAACAGAATGCACATTCTTGTGTGAAATGAATACATTTGCATGTTTCAAATAGCATATAGTTAGTTGCTATTACAGGTTTTTATGTGAGTTTTTAAATCAAAACTTTGATTTAAATTTTGTTCAATTCTGGTTTTCCAATAATTCTTTTTTGTCTCAACAAAGAGTAGTGGTTGAAAGGATGGGGTTGGGGGTCAGACAGATCTATCTGGCCTCAGTAGAAAATTATGCCTGTCAATGTTCGTATCTGCACAAGGAGCAGCCACTGCTTTTGAAAGTAGCTTGACTGTACTGCATTTTGGAATCCCTAAAGTACAAAAGACCATTGAATTAGGAGGCAGGAAATGTAAATTTTAGTTTTGAATCTACCACTTATTTGCTGTCTTAAGTTCTCTCTAACCCTCAGTTTCCTTATTATTCATAAAATGGAGATAGTGATACCATTCTTTTGAAATCAAAGATTATTTCAAATAATATATTTGAAAGCACTTTAGATAGGGAGGTATTACTATTGTTTTGCTAGCAATAGAAATATTACTACTAATTACAGTAATAGTGAGCAGGAACCTAAATCATAATGAAAATGATGATCACAAATGCAGTGATATAGAAAAGATGTTACTCTTTAGCAACTATGTGAAAATTCCTCTTTGGGAAATGATTGTATATCTTTGCAAGAAACACCTTGATGGTTCCTTTGGGAGGAATTCTTAGCTTTGAGTATATTTGGAATACAGAGACGTCTTAGGGAGGCTGGGGAGTCTGAGTGTTCCTGAATGTTTCAAGGTGAATACGTTTGGGATGGAAGGAACAGAGGGGCTGAGTTTAAAGGCAAATGAGGGAATAGCAAAGACCAGAAGACTTCAGACAGTGCAAAGTGGTCTGCTCCCAGGGACTAGATGCAGCCTGCAGTTGCATGATCATCAAAAAGGCAGTGGCCTCAGAATACCAAGCATACCCAAGACCCTATTTTCCTTTGTGTCACAGTAAGTTATTCTATGGCATTTACCTTTTTTTCTCTTTCCAACCTCCAGGCCGTCAGGAAGCCATAGCAGTGTGCTTACATATCCAGACCCAGCAGACGGTCAACGACAGCTTATGTGACACGGTTCACCGCCCTCCAGCAATGAGCCAGGCCTGTAACACGGAACCCTGTCCCCCCAGGTATGGCTGTCCTGTGCTGTACTGTGTTGGGGTGGTGACACCCCCACCTGCATAGAAACCCACCTGTGTGGAGGGCTGTACAGGCCACTGTAGGTAGGTCAGCTGAGCCTCCACTGAGTGCTGCCCCCACTGCCCAGGTTAGGGTCTGGCCGGATTCTTGCAGCCGTGTGCACGTGTGCAGCCTCAGTGAAGGGGAAATGCTCTTTGGCCTGACTTTGGTTTGCATCAGACATGAATGGACATGAACTGGCCTACTGCTGGCAGGTCCACAGCTGTGTTCTCTCTTCTTCTGTCTCCTCAAGGGCACTTCTCCCCTAAAGTACCATCAGAGAGCACAGAAGCTGGGCAGAGGTGCTTTGGTATCCAGTAGGTGCTTAATCCATATTTGCTGAATGACTGAGTGAGCTCTTGTTTGATACCTGGAGCTCACCTGGTATGTCACTACCTTTCTCATCGATTTGACTTGGGCCTCAGATTGTGCGGTGGAGCCTACAAACCCCAAAGAATAAGTGAGGGTGGTTTCTTTTTTGTTCTCCTTGGTGTGAAAAGTTGACTTAAGGGTTAATCAGCTTCCTTGTTTAAGTCCTTGTAAGATCCTGGGTAATTTTATCAAAAGGATAGTGGGTTTTCCCCACGTTCCTCTGTCCCTGGGTAGTGCTGGGTACCCAGGGGGGTAACTCCACATCGTTGGTTTCTCCCACGAGGCCCTTCCGACTCCAGCCCCCAGTCCTTTCCTTCTCCACATCGTTGGTTTCTCCCACGAGACCCTTCCGACTCCAGCCCACAGTCCTTTCCTTTCTTTGTCCTTTACCTTTATGATCTTGAAGTGTGATAAGGAAATTTATATGATGCTATAGGTTGAATTGTTTCAACCTCTTCTGTGATAAAAATTAGTTGCCCAAAATTGAGTCTGTTCCCAGTCACCTCCCTTCTGTCTTTGCCAGACTCTCTCTTCTGCCTTTTAGTAATTATATTGCCCCTCTAATGAGGCAGTATAATTCTCATTAGATATCACTCAGTGCAAACTCTGCCTCTTCTAGATGGAAAAATGGAAGCCGTAGGAGCCCACACATCATGCAGCAGAGGAGGGCCCCTGGTTTCCAGCCCTTCCACTAGCCATCTCTTTTGTCCTCACTAACCAGAGCTCTTTTTCTGGAAAGATGACTACAAAAGAAATGATTTGGAATTTACACATACTTTAAATGGTGACTACAGTTTGGCTAAGCATGAAATTCTCATGGTTATTAACAAAGAAGCATAAAAAGAAGAAAATACAACCCAATACATTGGGGTATATTTTATTTTTGGATTCAAATCTTCTTATTCTAGAATGACATGAAGCTAGTCTTTCTCAGAGTTCTGTCCTCTGCTTCTAGCCAAGTAACAACTAGAACAACTAGAACAACTAGAAAATGGAAATAGTGACAACAGAAAAGACAGGTCAAATGAGAATGATTCACATATCACAAGATGAAAAGAGGCCCAGAGAACATTGATGAAACTCTCAATTTTATTTTTTTTTAAAATCTGTTACACTCTTGCTGTGAAAGTGAAGATGGCTATAATGTGTCATCATATAACTTTTTCCAAAAAAAAAAAAAAAGGCCAAAATACAAAACAACATACACTTTATTCTCTGTTCATTCTAAGAACTATTAGTGCACATAGCTACCATTACAACTGCAATTATGTTCAAAATATTTAAGATAGCTTGACATCCTAATTTTTCTTTTAATGTTTCAGGACTAAGTACAAATCAGACATTTTCTCCACTTTGCCATGAAATTCAAGCCCCTTATTATAGTGGGTTCTCATCACGTGGTTTCTTCTGGTTTCAATTCTCTGATAACCTGTACCTGCTTCCTTGACAATTCACTTACCAATAATTTGTGAATCTGTCCTATTCCAGTCTAACTGCCACTGCCTTAATTCTGACATGTTTTAACAAAGCTCTTCCAGCAGTTTCTGGATGGACTCCTACCAACTCTCCTGTCCCGTCTGATCCACGTGCACAGGCACCCCCCAAAGTTGTTTATCTTTATAAATCACAGTGACCACATGACCCTCCTGTGCACAATCCACAGATGACTTCCTTTCACCTGTGGCACATTCTTCCCTTTGGCAGATGTTTTAGTTTCCTAGGGCTTCCCTAGCACAGCGCCACAAACCAAGTGGCTCCCAGGACACACACTCTCACAGATCTGGAGATGAGAAGTCCAAAGCCAAGGTGTGTGCAAGGCGGGGCCTTCTGAGGCTGTGAGGGAGTCCATTTCAAGGCAGATAGCCTCTGGCTCCCTTTGCCTTGCCAATGCATTGCCCCATGGTTTCATATTGTTTTCTTTCTATCTGCCTCTGTGTCCCACCTTCCCCTTTTCATCAGGACACACCTGTATTGAATTAGGGTCTACTCTGCCCACCTCCTCTTGATCATCTATTTCCAAATAAGGTCACAGTTAACGTATTTTGGGAGGAAATAATTCAACCTATAACATCATATAAATTTCTTTCTGACCCTGGATGGAATTCTTAAACCACATCTCCTGTGGCTACTACATGCCACCCCCTATCCCCGCCACACACATGCCCACACACAGGCATGGTGGCTGTGAGGAAGTCCTCAGCAGCCACACTAGACTCCATCCCATGCTTATGCAGGCCTCTGGGACTTTCACATACTGTGCCCTGTGCCCAAAGCACTTCTCTACCATGAAAAAAGTGAATTATCTCCCATAAAAGTATCATTGGCTCACTTCTCACTGGCAAAATACAGCTCAGCAGAATGTGCAGGAGGATGCTGACATGAGACGCCTGATAGAGGGGAGCGCTTCATACTCAAAGAGAATGGGAAGGGACCAGGCATGGGGCAGAGCCCTAGTTCTGCTTCTCTAAAGGAATGTCAGGGGGGTGGTGCCTGTGGCTCAAAGGAGTAGGGTGCCGGCCCCATATACCAAAGGTGGCAGGTTCAAACTCGGCCCTGTCCAAAAACTGCAAAAAAAAAAAAAAAAAAAAAGAAAACTTTAAAGGAATGTCAGGTGAATCCCTTTTCTCTCTGGGCCAAATTTCTTAATCTGACTAATGAAAAAGGCATTGGACTTTGTCATCCTTGTCCCTTGAGTTCCAATCTTTCGTTTTTGAGTAATGCTTTCAGGTTGCACTTTTCACTCGCATCTTCAAACTATGTTTAGTCCTTTTCCAGTTATTCTTGTGTCCACCCATGAGTGGGGTCAAATGCTCAGGGTTTGCTTTTGTTCTTTGCTTGCCCTGCCCAGGAGGTCAAGGCAGGGTTGAGTTTTGTCTGCAGTATTTTTCCTCTGCTCACTAAACCAGAACAAGGTTTAACATGGTCTGAAGAAGGCGGCCTGGTTTATGCATGCATCAGCCTCTGTGCACATCCTCTTGCCTTCATCACTCTCTCGAAAAGAGCTTCTGCCCACTGTCATCCTCTCTTGCCCACAGAGCTTCCAAGCTAAGAATAATAGAGCAGACAATATGTCTTGGCCACTTTGCAAAATTAAGAGTCTGTTTTTATGTGAAAGGAAATACTATTCCTCATTTCAAAGTTGCAAATTTAATAAACTTTTCAAAGGTTGAGAGTTATGTTGGAAAAAAACAGCAGAGACACAGGTTCGATGCCAAAATAAAGGTAAGTTTACAAAAATGTTTTAGGTTCTAGAAACCAGTGGTGTAGGAATAACAGGAACGGGGTGTTGCATAATATTTTCCATACAAATATTTACTGACTCCAAGGGCAATCGCAGTAAAATATCACCCCAGGGTGAAACTTACCACTGAGATTGGGTTGGATCGCCAGCGGATCTTTATTTACCCAAAGGCAAATGCATTTGATGTATTAGCCTGGACTCTCCAAGGTAGGGTGTTGCATGTTTATTTGCTCTTTCAGGGTTACTTCTCTAATCTGTCCTATAACTGCTGAGTATCTGCTAGTTATGGAGTTTGCTTTGTCTGGGAGAGAACTAGCAGCTTGCAGAAACATGCAGGTTATATAATGGTCCCCTGGTCTGCGTGGAGCCTTCTTCTCTAACAGCTAGGGAGGTAAACCGAAAAGCAAGAGGCAGGAGTGATATGTTTCTGTGCCAACTTGTTCTCCACCTCTTAAATATAAAATTTTGTGTTTAGCTTGTTGTCTGTTAATAAGAAATTGTTACCTATTTCTTAAATAAAAATAGCTCCATCGCCGTTCCTTGTGATTCTAATTGAGTCTGGTAGTGATACACTTTCTGGAAAGATGGTCATCCTGAAGTCACTCAGAATAACTCACATATTTAAGCTGAATTGTTTTAATAGTGAAACACAAGCCTTCTAGTTATTTAGCCATGTAACCCAAGTGTCATCAAAATATCACCCATATATCTACTGTTGGTGACTTCTCTCACTTCCAAAGCTACTGAGATTTAGATGTTATCAATTAGAATCTAACTGATTAATAGACTTCCAATTAAGATGGTGTTTTAACTTCACATTCTGCTCCAAATACAGATCAGTGATAGGAATTAAAATGCCCTGCCAAGGGGAAGATCATGAGAACACCTGGGCCAGGAAGCAGTGGGGGTCTGAAGCAATGGGTGGAGCTGCACCTGTGGTGCTTCCAAGCTTCAGCCCCAAAGCATTCGGGCAGATGAGAGTTCAATTCCCAGGGAAAATAGATAGGGACTGAACATTTGTTTTGATTCAGGAGGAAGAACCCAAGTTCACTGCAAGGAAGCAGAACGATAAAACTGTTGCTGATCACGGCCTGAAGTCATTGTTTTCGTGGGGCTGCTCTCCGGGGAAGTGGAAAACAGACACCAGTGAGCTCTGGGACTGACACAGTCCCTGTCTGCTGGTGACCTGGCTACTGGATCTTCAGTGCCCTTATGGCTGTTCTGTGCCATGTTGTTATGGAAGACCTAGCTCTTGACTAGAAACTTTTGAGAGCTGGGTAGAAGCAAATAAAACTGTAGGCGTGGGTGGGTAAAAGAGAAACGGATCAAAGAAGATAC